TTTACATGTTCATATTTATTTTGTCACATTTAATCACTTGCAATAACAGTAGAGACGCTCCCGTGAGTAGTTACTATGTGACCGAAGCACATATTATCTATTAGATTATTTTGTATCATTTGCTCGGAACACGCGATCTTGTTCCGCAAAAGTGGACACAAAAACCTAACTTTAGATAAAAATCGTAAGCTTATCATTAAAGCATAATATTACTATATAATTACATTTTGCTGGTCAACACGGCCGACATTAGCTTAGACAGACGTCAGCTGTCATATTTTTTTTTATGAAACCTTTCCACCACATTGACAGTTAAATGGCCCGGGTAACATTAAAACCCCAAAATACATATTTACTTGGCCATTTAATGTTTTATAGTAGGACGTATTATATATTTGGAAACAGATAACAAGTCATTATTAGACAGTATTCGTTTTGAGAGTTAGAAAAGATCATTAATTACCATAAAAATCGTTTGTCAACCAAAACACATGAGAAATTATGGTATAGATGTCACCCAATGCTGATCTATAACGTCGCAAAGCAGTAATACGCTCATATTGCAAACCAATTAATAATGCGTGTGTTAATTAGGCGGTTTCGATATAATCTTATGTTTTAATTTGTAATTGGTCTGGTGTGATACGTTATAACATCACGCATTTCATTATTAATGAATTTACGTCACAATTTACACAGTAGTCATTGTAATTATANCACAATTTACACAGTAGTCGTTGTAATTATATTTTGTGAACAATGAGGTCTTTATAGAGATGATGAAAAGATTAAAAATATATTATACACTTAAATCCGGTATTATGTAAAAGCCATTTTTGAAAGAATAAATAACTTAACACTATGTGTGTTAAAGTAAACGCTGGAACAGTGTGGTTAATGGTCAGTAGCTTAGCCTTAAAAACGGAAGGATTAAGGACCTATAACAATAAAACAGAAAACCTGAAAACTAGATTAATATTAAAGTTTTAATCGAGGAATCAAAATCCTATTTATTTAATTATATACGATGTGTTCACAAAGAATATTTAATTTGAATTGTATATTCAAGGTAGACCATAAAACGATAAATTGTTTCATTTTTGCCAATTATGTAGTGTATGAAATAAAACTGTAAGAAAAAAATTCTCTGTAACTGCTAGTAACTGATTCATATCGGTAATATTAATACCAATCAATTTGTTTACAATATAAAATTATCTTTAGAACAAGAGGCAATTAAAAATCACTGCTAATCGCGTTATATTTTCTTAATTTGTACAATTAATTAATATTTATTCAACATTTGATTTTTCAGTGTGTCTTAAATCAATTATACTAATGACCAGTGGTATAACTAGAAAAGTACTAGTGACCGTTTTTAAAATGGATTTATATTTGGTTAGCTAAAATCAAAGTTATTAAGTATAGCAGACGGAACAATAGTGTGGAATTTTTAAAAGTTAAGTCTTACTTTTGGGTTATTTGTCAATTACTTGTAATTTTATTTTTTTCACCAATTTGTGTATTTTCTAGATAAATTCGACGATACCAAACGCTTCATTGAATTGGACGTTGTTTATTATACGAATCTGATTCCGATCACATATTAGTTATAAGGAAATTGGTAAATATCAATTTGAGAATAATGACGAGTTTATTAATTATTATAATGAATACCATTAAAATTATCCAGCATCAGCATATTTTTTCTTTAAATATATTTTATGTAAAATAATTATCGTTTCTAATGATATACTTGTATTAATATTAGATCGTTTTTTTAGAATTTATGAAAACAATTGCAAATCATGACTACGAACATTTATTAAAGCATAAATGACCGAATGGATGAAACTAGGAGAAATATGTTGTGTTGATCTTTAAATAAAAATAAAAATTAATCAAATCTTGAAATTAGTATTTTTCTAGTACATTTTCTTTTAAAATAAATAAAAGTTATTTTTTTTGAAGGGAGTTGTGCTTTTTTAAGAAAAGATGCCGAATGAGCAATTTCGCTAAAGCCAACAAAACTCTTATATTTGTAAGTAATTTTATTGATTGGTAAGATATGAGCAAATCGTTATCTTAAAATTACATGTTTACAATATATGTAAATTATTATAAATTATAAAATCATCAAAAATCAATAAATAATGTAGATCTTATTTTGAACCATTTCAGGCCACAAAACATGTGTTCTTTAATTACAATACTTTTAAGTATTGTAAGGAGTTGAAATTGTTTGACTTGTCGTGACATTTATTAAATTTCATTTTCGTCAAAAATGTACAATTTTGGTTTTTCTATTTACTTATTAATAACCTTTCAATATTTATTAGTTTTACATTGATTTAAACAATTTTCTAATAATAGTATGAAGCTTAACTGCTGTAATGTAACTCAATGTGCTTATTAAAAGGGTATGCATAATACTATTAATAATAATATTCGTTTGATAATAATGACTTTCGTGCAGTCCTAAGTTACAAAAATGATTATTTAACGTCGTGTGGAAAAACAAAAGTAATAAGAACAGGAAGCATATGTGGCACGCTTGTTTTTAGACAAAAGACTTTTTCTTCGAGTACTCGTTATAGTGTGTGTTGTTTTTTCATCGGTAGTATTAATGAAATAATCATAGCTATCGATAATTATTAGTATTCGGTAAAAGAAAATGGGGAAAATGACTAGTACAGAAGAAATAAAAGGAACAACTACGTCGACTCTTGGAAAGTCGGTTAATCACGAGTCGCACGAGATACAAACACTAAATTAAAAAAATTACAATGCAACGTCTCTTTGATTGTTTCGATTCACGTAGTGTTTTCAGCCAATAACTTGGTCGCTCTTCAGTTGTCCATCAATGGGAACAATAACCAGAGTACAGCTGAAGTATAGTGTAGTGTAATATAAACACTGTTTGTGCATTTGAGAATAAGCCGACTCGTATTGAAGTCTCATTTACAGTAGGTAGGTACAATTAAATAATGATACAGTTTGTATCATTCGGACTACACTGTGAAAAAAAAAATAATGTACATTCGTTTTAATATTAAACTTCTTTATCTCAAGAAATAAAATTATTTTTATTGTATTTTACACACGTGACGTTTTATTGTGCGCATCAATAATTTAACGGGATTTCTCATCGTCGATTATTAGTTGGGATTGTATTAAATTAAAAAGTATACGAGTACAATTAGAAATGTTTTAAAAGAATATTATTATCTTCTGAATCGTATCTTAATTTTTTAATATGTCTGTAGTAAGAAGTAGTAAAAAGTGGTAAACATTTGAAAATTAATCATATTTCTTGGAGGTTGTAGGGAACTTGTAAGATGTATTTCTTTAAATACCATTCTGTAGACTCAGATTGAGATTTTTACATTAAAATTATAGACTTATTTCTATAAATTATAAATTAATAAGTATTTTTATTGATTATTGAAATTGATCTAAAAAGTAAAGTTATGTCGGATAGAGAAAGCTAAAGTAAAGTTTGTGTAACTCAAAAGTATCGCTATAATTATTACTATTTTTATTATACTAACAGAAATTCGCTGATTTTGAAAATACCTAAAAAAAATCATTCATCAGGAAAAAATTAGTTTAATTGACATTCAAATACGACATAGAAAGTATGATATTCTACTAAAGAAATAAATGTGTTTAAATGTATTAACTCAATGCTAAAGTTATTTGAAAGTTTATTCGTCGGTTTTTAGTTTATGCATTGAATTTATTTAATAAATATTAATAAATATAAAAAAACAAATTTTTAATATAAAAATTAAAAAAAATGAGAACATGCCAAAGTACTATTTAAATGATTTTACCTTCAACTTATTTTATATAAAATTAATTAAAATTCAATTTATATGGATTTTAATTGTGTGAAATAGTATTATTAAACTTTCAAGAGAAATTTTATGCAAATAAAGTCTTATAAACAACTATGCTTATTTACATTTAATAAAAAAAATTATTTATTTATCAGAGCATAATTAAAATGTTAATTTTTTTATTTATGTGTCAGAAAAATAAATTATTTTGAATAATATATTAGACATTATTTGATTAAATATTCAAAAATAATAAATGTATTTACATTTAATTACGAAACATAATAGAGTTACTTTACTCGTTATCTAATTAAATAAAAAAATTATATAAACTGCTATAATATATTTAGGAAAAATTATATTTTTTATCAATGGTGAGTTAGTAGAAATATTTTTAGTTGATCATTGTAGCGTACTATTATGCTATCATAATAAAAGCGATTAAATTTAAATTATTAGGTGAAATAAAACATAGTTATCATATTTATGAGAATTTAAATATATGTATAATTACACATACATTTTAACTTTGACGAATTTTATTTATATATTATTAAAAACATATAATAGTTAGCGTTGAGTTGTTGAATTTGATTTCATTTAAATTGTTTCATTGGTAAGTTATTATTTTTCATGGTGATTTTATTTATTTATCTCTTGAAATAAATTTCAATACGTCAAATATAATATAAAATAATACATTAATTTTATACTCAGCGTTGTTAAATAATTACAATAACTAATAATTTCAAATATAGTTGTAAGAAAAACACACATTGCATTTTATATGACAACAAAATTATAATAAAATGTACTTCAACAAATGTCAATGGATTGCATTCATTACTATTACAGTACTAAATTAAAATGGATGCCAT